CAAGTGCTGGGATTACAGGCGTGCACTATCACACCTGGCATATGAAGAGCTGGAAGAGAGAACTGCAGTCTTCAAACATAAAGAAATGACAAGGAGAGAGAAATGCTAACAATCCTGGTGATTAGTGTATGCTGTACACATAAATTGAAACATCACCCTAAGGTATGCTATGAACATGTGTATTTGTAATATGTTAAAAATATTCATTGATGAAAAATGTCATGTAAATCTATACAAATACTAAACATGCAGACATATGAACAGGAGGGTTTCTTTACCCTTTTATAATAGACTCCACTCCCCAAACCTTGAAATTAACCCAAATACCCAGCCATGAGAAAGTGGTTCAGTGTGTTATGGTGAGTTCTTACTACATGACACTCTGACACTATTAAAAACAATAATGAAGACTTTATTTAATAATATGACTAAAAGAAGGTAATACAGTATTTATATTCACATGAAATTCTGAAACAGACTAAAAGAAACTATGGTGATAGAAATAAGCAAAGTGACTTCTCAAAACATAGTTAGGGGGGCTGGGGATTTAGCTCAGCGGCAGAAGCGCCTGCCTGGCAAGCGCAAGGTCGTGAGTTCGGTTCCCGGTACCGGAGAAAAACCAAAACCAAAACAAACAAACAAAAAAAAACATAGTTAGCAGGGTTGACAGGAAAAATATATAAATGAAAGTCCAAGAAAGAGACAGAAATATTCTATATGTTGCTAAGACTGTGGGTGATGTGGGTGCTTTTGTCAAAATTGATCCTTCATCAAAAACAATCAAACTAATCCTTGCATCCAAATAAAATAATACCCTAAGGTGTTTGTATATCATCACCTGTACAATACACTTTGGGGAAAAAGGAAAAGGGAGTATTGAGTAGATGTGCTCCCCTGACATGCTGAGTCCATGTGGTGGTCTGCCTGGCCAGGCGACTCTTTGTACAGGTGGACAGAGGTGGGCAGCGGTGAGCTCTGCAGCAGTAGTGTTCAGGAGATAAAAAGCAGAACAGCTGTTTTCTGTGAGGGAATGGATGTCAACCGTGCTCCAATAGAAGTTCTGCAGAGAAAGGCCAATGGGAACACGAGGGCTGAGATCCCATCGTGGCTTTATGAGACTGGGTAGAGTGTGATCTTGTCAGCAGCTAGCAGCCAGAGCCACGCCCAGACACTCCTGCTGAGACACATACATTGTGTGAGCTCTGCTGACCAATGTGGGCTTCCCCCAGGGACGGGCTTCTGTCTCTTCCTGGCCTTAGTAAGCACCAATGCTCATCAACAAACATTTTCTGAACCCCTACGGGTATTGAGAACTCTCTTTTAATGGCTCACAAGCTAGTGGAGAAAGAGCTGTACAAAGGAATTTAAGCATGCTAAGACAGAGGTGTGGGAAGAGACCATCAGCTGCTTGGATTAGGGGAGGATGAGGGAAGGCTTCAGGGTAGAGCTACTGAGTTTTGAGCTAAGCCTTCTTCCACGTGAGTATAATTCGGTGGCTTCACTTGGATTATTAATTTGTAAAAAATTAAAAAGTAGAAAAGAGTATTAAGTGAATATATGCATTAAGTGAATATATATCACAGAGTATTAAGTGAATATTGACTCAGATCCTATCATTCAGATCTAAACTGTGAAACCTTTATAAGGCTCTTTCTTGCTAGACGCCTCTGTTAAGTGCCCTCTGTGTACTTAGTGAGAATGGGATCACATTTTGCATTTGTTTCATACATACACAGATATGTATGTTTTAAATGTGCTTTGCCATATATTGTCACTAGCTCTTCATAACGCATGTGAGTCCCTATTGCCATTTTATTGGCTGTGCAGTATTCCATAACAGAAGTTATGTCATTATTTAACCAGATTTATTCAGGGTCATTTACAATTGTTTCAAGCTACTTGGCATGGCTCACAACTGTTTATGCTGGTCTTGAAGAAGGAAAGCTTCCAAGAAGACATAAGAGGGGAAGAAGAAGAAAGGATTGCAGATGCCAAGGCATAAAATAGGCAGCAGGCTTTGAGAGAAAGAAGTCATTCCGCGAAGCTGGAGCCCGGCATGTGTACGGTGTCAGAGAGCTGAGGTGGGAGGGGAGATGGTGAACACACACAGGTCTTAAAGGTCAATTACAGATCTGTGTTTGACCCTCCAACCGTATCACAAGTTTGACACAGCAGAGCAACACCAGCAGCTTTGCATTTTAAAAGATCCCTCCTCTCTTCCTGAGTGTGCTGTCTGTAGCCTTCTGCATGCAAATCTCGGGTGTCTGTTCTAATCACTTGGAGAGTCACCTCCTGCCCAGACCCCAGGGACTCAACTCTACATGTGGAGAGTCCTGGCTTTGAGCTGTCACCATAGAGACCTGGACTCTTTAGACAGCTATGTGGGAAGCTGGGCTCAGCTACGACGTTCTTTCCATTGGTCTGGGTGCCCGGCTGCTGAGCAGACTGGCTGGGGTGCATTTCAGGTGACCCTGTGGGGAGTTGGCTGCAGCTGAGAGTGCAGAGCGGGTGGACAGAATGGGCCTCAGGAGGCTGATAGGTGAGGTGAGCATTCTCCCACTCCAAGCTTATGGTTTCCAAATAGAAGATCAGCAAGAAATCCAAAAACTGCCCATGCCGAAGTGTAAGAGAGTTAAAGGAGGAAAGTGCCAGAAGCCAGGTGGGGTCTCTCAGCCAAGCAGGGGAGCAAGGGGACCGAGCAAAAGACACACAAAGTCAGACTGGAGTCTGAGAAGTAGAGAGTGAGCTTGCGAGAAAGGAGACAGGTGTGGGGCCCCAGCTGGGGGAGGAAAGAGGGGGAGAGTTCCCCGCAGCTGGGGCGCTTGGGGAGCTGTGTGGTGTGATTCTCCATGCCCCTCTCTTTATTTTCTTGATAGCACAACTTTTTAACATTCTATCTTGATTTCTATTGTTTTTCTGAGTTTCTGTGTGCTATTTCTTGGTCGTTGCCCTGAGTATTACAACATACACACGTGACTTTTCTCAGTCTACTGGTTCAAAATTTTATCATGTCAAGGCAAAAGAAGAACCCTCACTTTTTTCTAGGTCCCCAGTACGGCTTGTATTTAGATGTCCCTCCAAAGCCATGTGCTCGTAGGTGGGGATTTTTGGAGGTGGCTGGATCTAGGGCGTGTGAAAATGGATTAATGTACGTGATAACTAAATCAGTCCACTGACAGTTTAGCATAGTTCTGGGTGTGGGTAAGGGGAAGACTCGTCCTGTGTGTGGGTAACACCATCCAATGGGATTGTGCCTGGATGGGACACAAGGGGAAGGGAGGCTTGCTGTTCTTGATGCTTCCTGCCTGATTTGCCATGGTCTGTTTCTCCCCTGCCATGTCCTTGAGCTCTGCCGCCCTGCCTTGAAGCCAGCAGACTGTGGACTGAAACCTCTACACACTGTGAGCCGAAATAAACCTTTCCTCCTTTAACTTGTGGGAGTTGGGTATTTCACCTCAGCAACGTGAAAAGTAACGAAGACAGTCCCTTCACCTCTTCCACGGTGAATATTACTATCCTGTGTATGGGATGGGGGTACAATTTTGTTTCCATGCCTAAATATGATTTCTAAAACTCCTATAAAAAAGGATAGTCTACTATTTATACCTGTAGTTCTCTTTTTCTGAAATTCTGTTTCCCTTCCTGCTACTCAGAAGTTATTTCATCATTTTCCTTTCATCCTCAAACGTTCTTAACTTTTTAAAGGTGGGCCTGCTAATTAACACATTCCTTTGGTTTTCCTTCTTTGGGGAATGTCTTCATTCACCCGCATTTCTGAAGGACAGTTTCACCGAGTGTAGAGGTCTTGGTTGCTTTCAGACAAGGATCTTCTGGTGTTCTAATTGGTGTCCCCTACAGATAAGGTGTCCTTTCTCTCTGACTTTATGAAACTTGTCTTTAATGTTCAGTTTTTTAGTTAGTGTCACGGTGTGAATTTCATTATCTTACTCAAACCTTTCTGGGACCCTTGAATCATATGTTTAGGTTTCTCTAGTCACTTTTCTGCCCTGGGACAAAATACCTGACATCCACAAGGTAAAACAGGAGAGATTTATTTTGTCTTATGGTCTTAGTAGGTTCAGTCTATTACTGGCTCCATGGGAGAAACATCATAGTGGAGGAAAGCAAGGAATATGAGAGAGAGACAGAGAGACAGAGACAGAGAGAGACAGAGAGAGACAGAGAGAGAGACAGAGAGAGACAGAGAGGAGAAAGGAGGTAGGGACAAGAACACACCCTTCCAGGTCACACACCTAGTGACCAATCTCTTCTGACCATGCTTTAGATCTAAACCTTACCAGTCTCCTATCAAATTTTGGAAAATTTCAGCTAAGTTTCCTTTAAATCCTCTTTTAAATTCTCTCCTTTTCTTCTTCTTTTTGATACTTCAGTGATATGAATGTTCCTGAAACTCTGTTCTTTAAAAAAAATTTCCCAGTCTCCTGTTTTCTGTTATTCAGACTGGGTGAATTCTATTGATTTGTCCTCAAGTTCACAGATTCTAGTTTCTGTTGTCCGTATTCTTCCACGGCTATAATTTGTGTTATTGTACCTTTCAGCTCTGTAATATCCTTTCAGTTCTTTTTTATAACTTCTATTTCTTAGCTCAGCCCTTTTTTTTTCTCATTTGTTTCAAGATATTTTGTAATTGATTGCTGGAGATTTGTGAGAAGGCTGCTTAAAATGCCCATTAGATAAAGCTGACATCTGATTCGCCTCCTGTTGGTATCAGCTCATTGTCTTTTTCATTCAATTTGTAATTTCTCTAGCTATTGGTATAATGGGTGATTTTCCTTTGTATCCTGGACCTTTTGTCCAATACATGTGGAGACTCAGGGTCCTATTTAAATCTATTCTGGGGGCCAGTTGCCCTGTTTCTGTGTAGCATGCAAGTCTTGGTCCTCTGGGCCAGCAGTGTCCTCAGAGCCTTTGTGACATGACAGTGACCCGCTTGGTGTAGCTGACGCTGCCGGGCTCTTGTTAGCCCTGGTAGGCGCTGACTGTGGGTGCAGGAAGGGCTTTCCCAGGGCAGATACTGGTGTTTCTTGGTGGAAGAGGGGACTCTCAGGCCCTCATGGCGCCCTAGCCACACTGCCTTTCGTGGCTGGGTCTCTGCCACCTTGTCTGTCCACCGTCTTCTAGCTGGAGACGAAAACCCATGTCCATGAGGATGAAGAGGCTTACAGAGGGACACTGCTTGCCTCTAGGTAGGGGAGCAATACGTGGGCTGGGCCCCCTGTTGCTGATGGGGAACTCCTGCCATGGTCCCATTTCCACTCGGTCTTTCATGGAGGAGTGGAGCATCGGCCTACAGGGACAAAGTCGTCCTCAGAACAGCCCTCACCAGGGAGTTGCTCCTGTGGCCTCTTCTCGCACTGGAGGATCCATGTGGACAGGTAAGGGTTGGTGGGAAGGGCAACACCTCCCGGATTCCTCCTCCTATGGCCTGTGAGCCACAATCAGCCTTCTTCCCCCTAAGAGCACTGCTGGGCTCACCTGGGGCTTTCCACAAGATTCCCCCATCCTGGGTGAGAAAAGGACCACCTGGGCCACCTCTGTTCCTAGGTAGGACTCGGGAGATGTCAAGTCTAAGTTTCTCCTGTCCTTGTTCTCGGCCGGAGAAAGGACATTATCTTCTCTGCTCCTGCCCAGCGGCCCAGGGCAGGCTGTGGTCTCTGCTCCTCCTCTGCATTGCAGCTGTATGCGTCCTGGCTTCGAGAGGCCAGTTAATTGGACTCGCGTCTGCCAGCAGAGAGAGTGGACAAACATGGGAGGAAATTGTTAGCAGCAAAGAGGAAGGGAGGGGGCGGGGAGCCAACAATTTGTTGAAGGCAATGAAGTGAAGCAAGTTATGCCTCCTGCTAAATTACCATATGTGCTAATTGTATATGCACCAGTAATTGTTGGCTGCTGCTCATTTACATTTGATTATTATATTTGCCGCTTTTTAATTGCATTTGAATATTTCTGCCGCTAATACCGTTGAGATCATCATTAGCTGTCAAAAATTCGCAGTGCTTCTTCTGTTAATGAAATGCAGGTCTGCTACCCGAGCCTTCATCTAATCCAAATAATGCCAGCAACAGTTGTGATGAGGATAATAGTAATGAGGATGCTGGTCAGAGTGTCCACTGGGTCTCTGGAGCTGTCCTAGGTACTGGTTCGCAAGAGAGTGCAGAACTTTGCATTTAATAGACCTGAGGTTTGTTTCTGGCTCAGTTCTTTATGACTGTGTGACTTTAGGCAAGGTACTACTGTGTGACATTGGGCAAGTTTCTAAACCTCTCTGATCCTCAACATCCTCATGTCTAAAAAAAGCATACAATGCAGAACTATTGGGTAGAACTAGGAACAGCAATAGGTTAGATGGCCTGGTGTGTGGCAGAGACTTGGTAGATGGTGATTGCTGTTTCTCTCATTCACCCAGAGATCCGCTGGTCTTTCTCTTTGCTAAGGGCCCCAATATCACTCCCTGGGCCGATGCAACTACCTCCCAGCTGAAGTTTCTGGCCCCTCCCCCTCTCCATTAGCTGCTTCGCAGCCAGTGTTCCTAACGCACAAATCTGGACGCATGTCTTGTCCATGTTCACAGATTCAATGGCTCTTTGCAGCCTGCAGGGTGATTTCCAGGCCTCAAAACTGCACGGACAGGGCCAGGCTGGGGCACTGGACAATGGTATGAGCTACCCAGGCCCCCAGAGGACGGCAGACTCACCCTGGCTGCAGGGCATGCTGAGGACACAGGTTTAGAATAGTTTCAGCTGCAAAGCACTGCCTTGGCCAGGGTGTCCCCTCCCTGGGGCCACCCCAGTAGAGCAACCAACTCCAGAGAACTCTCAGCTTCAGGGCACTGTGAGGTCTCTGAGGCTTTGCGGGCATGCGCCAAGGCGAGCTGCTCTTTCCACCCTCCTCTGCCTCCTTCCCTACCACTCCTTCCTGCACAAGTGAGTCCCGCAGAGCGTCCCTAGTCAGGCGCCCCTGAATACCTCCACCTGGTGATTTCCACCCACGTCTGCTCCCTGAGTAACCACCTTGCAACACGGTTGCTTCTGCAGGTTTGTTTGCCACACTGGCAACAGACATGTGCCGGTGCTTTTCCTTCCCAAATGCACCTTTCCCTGGCAGCTCCCTGCCTTTCTCCTGCTTCTCTCCCTTTCCAGAAGGCTCTTTCCAACTTAGCAGCCCAGAGAACCCCTGAGCCTCCAGGGAGGCTCAGATCGGATGCCACCCCCCCCTGCTGTTCCAGCAGTCAACATCTGGGCCTCTGGGCGGGTGAGGCCTGTTTGGGCCTCTGGGCAGTGCTGATCTCACTGAACCGTGACCTCCTCATTAGCTGTCTGCTTTCGGCCCAGCTGTGTGCCCCTTCTGGCCACATCTCAGTCACCGCAGTGCCTGGGTCTGGTGAGCGACGGGAGGTAAGCAAATTTCTGCTTAATGTACAGAAATCTCCCCATGCCCGGTGCTGGGAAACTGATGAGTGTTTGGTGAGGATGCTGCTTCTGTGCACTGTTGGAGAAGCTTAGCATCGTTTGGAAGCTTCCTCCCTGTTTCACTTAGCAAAGACTTGCAGAAAATCCTGAGAAACTGTACATTGTGGTGCATAAGGTTCTCACTGCAGTGAGCTACGCTGGCACAGGCTTCTTGTGGGGAAGAGGAGGTTTACTCCACGCACATCTTTGGAGGGCCAAATTCCAAGACCCAGGAGCAGCTATTTCAAATGGGAGCAGAGAAAAAGGACGGGGTGGAGGGCTCAGTCTGTGTGTAACCTCTCTAGAGGGAATTCCCACAGGGATCCATGAGAAACACCCCACACTCAGGATAACCTAAAGAGCTCGCTCCAGACCCTGGCTCCCAAAGGGTCCCCTGCCTCCCAACAGCACCCTAGTCACCATGGAGCCAGGGGAGACGTAAACCGTGTTCCCACCATAGCAGCGCATGTGTACATGTTTGCCTGTGGTCTCTGAAGGTCCCCACCAGAGGGTAAGCATCGTGGGGAGCAGGTGTGCAGGCCCTGACTCCAGCACTGCACATGCAGGCTTCTGGCGGTGGCACCATCTTGCCCCTCCCTCTTCCCACACGCAGAGGTCTGGTCTTTACACTGTCCTGTAGACTTCCTGAGCTCTGGCAGCAGGGTTAGAAAATCCAAACTGTGCACTGAGGCCTCGGGATTCTACGTCTTAACCGTTCTGATTGTGTCCTCCCTGCCCAGGGTGCGCGCTTTCCTGACGGAGTCCCTACCTCACACCATCTTCCTAGGTGTGCAGCATCACTGAGAATCCTAAAGACTGTTTGGAAACTAAATTAAGTCAAACCACATAGCTGTACCTGGGAACAACCACTCCGTCAGCACAGACCTTCTGGGTGCCTACCATGTGCTGGGCATGGTTCTAGATGCAAGGGCATTTGGAGAAGAGACAGAAGTAAAAATGCCTGTTTCTGTGGAGCTTCCTCTCTAAATGAGGTGGGCAGTAAATCAAAAGTCATGCACAGTATAAGAATGAGTGTCAGGTGCTGATAGGTGCTATAGGAATAAAATGTAGGGGCTTCATAGGTAGATTTTGGGGGGTTTCAAGTTTAGATGAAGTGGCCAGGGAAGGATTTCTTGTGAAAAGAGACGGCATCACTGAGTAAAGCCCTAGAGGAGAAAGGGGGATTGTTGTGTAGATATCGGGGAGAAACACACTCTAGGAGGAAGGCACAGTAAGCACAAAGACCCTGGGGCAGGTGTGTGTATGGCAGGGGAAGGGGCTTGAGGAACAAAAGAGGAAAACCAGGAAGGGAGTGAGCAAAGTGAAAATGAGATTGGAGGGAGAAGAAGGGCCAGATCCTGTGGAGGGCGTGTCAGGGAATCTGGCTTCACCTCTGCCTGAAATGGAAAACCCTGGCCGAGTTGAGAGAAGGGAGTGGTTAGGATTGGTGGAGGTTTTACAGGATCGCTCTGCATCTGCACTGAGAACTGATGGGCAGGGCCAGAAGCAGAATTGGGGTGACTAGAGAAGAGGCTATTATACATCCCCAGAGAGAAAATGGTGACTTGGACTAGGGTGGGAGCTGGGGTGCTGTGAGAAGTGGCTGGATTCCAGATATTCTCCACAAAGAGGAGATTTTGTTATGGTATAGGGGCAAAATAAACAGAAGGGTCAAGAAACACTGACATGTGGGGTCCCCCACGGGGGAGAATGAGCTGCCTTTACAGAGCTGGGGATACCTCTGAGAGGAACAGGTCCTGGGGAGGTGGGTAGCTGTGCTTGCCAGGCTCTGGGGATAATAAAACGATTGTGCTCCAGGAGCATTTACTGAGATGTGCGTGCGAGGAGGGTGCTGCTCAAATTACTCTGATGCATTCCCTCGTGCAATCCCCCCAAACTGGGAGGCAGGGGCTATTACGATCCCAAAGCATTGTGAGGAAACCGAGCCTTTGGAGGGTTATGTTATCTTCCCAAGGCCACATTGCTGGTAAGTGACATGAGGGTGAAGACTGTCAACTTGATTGGTTTGGGAGCTACCAAGGGGATGAGTAAAGCACACTTACAGGTGTGTTGCATGGATCATGGGGGTGTGCCCTTTGGGACTGTATCTGGTCCCTGGCCCTCTCCTCTCCTGGCTCCCATGAACAAGGCAACTTTCTTACACCTGCCCTTCCGCCATGATGTTTCCGTCCTACAGCCAGCTTACCATGGACCGAAACCTCTGACACTGTGAGCCAAAAATAGCCCTCTCCTCCTCTAAGGTGTGGGCAACTGGTAAAGTACCCCAGCAATGACAAGCTGACAATCCAGTGACTGAGCCAGGACCTGAACCCAGGCATGGTCTACCCTTGTCTCTTCACATCAATGCTGAGTCCCTGCTCAGTATCATTAGAATTTCCTTTTTATTCTCTAGCTTGATCCTCACAGCACTCACAACTCATAGTCTTCATTATTGTATCTTATTGGATCTAACTATGCTCAGGTCACCATTCTAAGTGCTTCTTATGAACTGACTTGCTCAGGATGCTCAGTGGGACCCTCTATAGACACAGAGAGGTAAAGGAACTGAGCAAAGTCACTCGGTCAATAACGGAGGAGCGGTGTTTGAACTCAGACAATCTAACCACAGCCACACTCTGTCCTACTGTATTGTTTAAAGAAGATGGGGGACACTGAAGAGTTTTGAGCAAAAGTGTTACAATATGTGTTTCAAAAGGGTCTCTGTGCTGTGCTGAGAGAGCCCAAGAGCGTGAGAGCCCAAGGGTCGAAGTAAGGGGACCCCTGCTGGCTGGGAGAGAATGGTTATGGAGGGCTGGGGAGAAGCTGCCATGTCTGGACACTGCTCCGCCTTGACTCACCCATTTTCTAGGTGTCTACTCCATGCTGGTGCCAAGGAGACCCAACTGCTGCCCTCACAGAGCTCATGTCTCATTAGGAAAGGAGACAGGAAACCAGCAGCAGCACTGCATGTGGAAGGGAAGCTTGGGATCCAGTGGAGCATATATCTGAGAGGCTTGACCCATGGTAAGTCCAGAGCTGAGTTCAGCTAATACAGAGCTGGTGGGCTCACTCAACTTGGAGAAGTTCTTGAAGAGGACAGTGGGTCCTACCTGGACCATCAAGCAAGAGAAACAGCAAAAAAGCATTCAGACAGATAAGGCAGCCAATGTTCAAATCAGGCTAAGTGTGTCAAGAATAATGGTGCGATAGGTCTAGACCACCTTCCAACAACTACAAGATGTATACACATTCTTCTCAGCAGCTCTACATTCTCCAAAGTACACCATACTTTAGGTCATGGAGCAAGCCCTAACAAATAAAAAAAGTTGAAATAATTTATTGCATCGTATTGGATCAAAATGAATTGAAACCAGAAATTGATGACAATTCACTTTTGACCAATTAGTAGGTCAATGAAAAAATCATGTAGGAATTAAAAATTCTAGAATCAAAAGAAAATGGAAAGACAACATACCAGGTCCTCTAGGGTACAGTAAAGACAGTTCTACCTGGGAACTAGAAAATTGAAATTTATACTATGATTCTTACATCCAAAAATCAGAGACATCTCAAGTAACCTAATGTTGCATCTCAAGATCTTAAAAAACAAGAATAAGCCAAAACCAAACCAGTAGAAATAAAGAAATACTAAAGATTAGAGCTCAAATTAATGAGATAGAGACTAAAGAACAATATATGGGGTCAATGAAACAAAAAGTTGGTTCTTTGGAAACAGTAAAAAATGAATTCAGCAACACATTTAAAAGATCACAGATCACGATCAAACTTAATAATCAAGATCATACACCATGATCAAGCAAAGAAGTTTCAACATATACAAATCAATAAATGTAATATACAATATAAATGGAATCCAGGATAAAAAATCACAATATTCTCTTAACAGACACAGAAAAATAAATGACAAAATTCGACATCTCTTCATGGTAAAAGCCCTAAAGAAACTAGATACTGAATCATTACACCTCAATATAGTAAAGGGCATATATGATGAAGCCACAGCCAATACCATTCTGAGTGGAGAAAAACTAAAAGCTTTTCCTCTCAATGAGGAGTGAAGCAAAGACGTCCACCCTCACCCCTCCTTTCAATATGGTTCTTGAAAATGTAGCTACAGCAATTAGGGCATAGGGAAAAACTAAAAGCAATGCAAAGAAGAAAGAAAGCCAAATGGTCGTTATTTGCAGATGACCCTCAAGACTCAAAAGACTTCAGAGGTGATAAATGAACTCAGCAGTGCAGCAGGATATATACACAATATTAAGGAATCGATAGCTTTACTATATGCACATAATGTATTAGCTGAGAAGGAAATCAGGAAAACTATTCAATTCACCATAGCTTGAAATAAAATATGTACATATCAATCTAACCAAGGAGGTGAAAGACTTCTACTATGAAAATTTTGGATCACTGAAGAAAGAAATTCAAGAAGATGCCAAAATATGGAAAGGATTCTGTTCATGGATTGGCCATTAATATGTCAAAATATTATATATATATATATATATATATATATATATAATATATTTATAATATATTAAAATATATTACATATAGTTAATATTAGTCAAAATACAGTCAAAACCAATGTACAATTTCAATGTATTCTCTACCAACATCTTCACAAAACTAGTTAAGAAAAGCAAAAATTCATATGAAAGCCCAAAAGGCCCAGAATAGCTAAAGCAATTCTTGTTCTTCAAAAGAACAAGGCTGGAGGGATCACAGCAGCTGATTTTAAATTACACTACCAAGCCACAGTAGTGGCAAAAATGACAAAACGACATGGTACTGTGACAAAAGCAGAGATAAGGACCAATGGAATAGATTAGAGGGCACAGCAACAAACCCGTACAAGTACAGCCATCTGTACTTGCATGAAGGAGACAAAAACATACACTGGAGAAGAGACAGCCTTTTAACAAATGGTCCTTGGAAAATTGAATATCTACTTGTAGAAGCCTGAAACTAGATCCTTATCTCTCACGCTATACAAAAATTAATTCAAAATGGATAAAAAACCTAGGAATAAAACCTGAAAATTTGAAATCAATAAAAGTAAACATAGGGAAACCCTTGAGGTCATAGGCATAGACAAAGACTTCCTGAATAGGACTACAATAGCACCAGAAATAATAGCAAGAAGCAACCGGTGAGACTGCACTAAATGAAAAAGCTTCTGCACAGCAAGGGAAAGAACTAACAGAGTGAAGAGACAGCCTATGGCAGGGGTCCCCAACTCCCAAGCCATGGACAGGTACCAGGCCTGGGAAATTGGAATGAGTAGTGCATGGGGGAGGGAGTGAAAGAGGCTTCCTCTGTATTCAGAGCAGCTCCCCATCGCCTGAATCACTGTGTGAGCTCCACCTCCTGTCTGAACAGTAGCAGCATTAGATTCTCACAGGAGTGTGAACTTTACCGTAAACTCTACACATGAGGGATCTAGGCTGTATGCCTCTGTGAGAATCTAATGCCTGATGATCTGAGGTGGAGCTGAAGCAGGGATACTAGCCCTGGGGAGCAGCTGCACAGATTAACACTAGTAGAAAGGTTTGACCACACAGAGACCATAAGAAATCAATTGCTTGCAGACTCAGAGCAAAACCCTATCAGTGAGTGGCAAGTGACAAATAATCTGCATCTGGTGCTGCTGGCTTTAAATCAGAATTCAAAGCTTATTTTAATCTGCATGTGGCCCTCCTATTATTTATTCATAAGTCCTGTCTGCACTTCTTTCCCACAGTGCACACTGATCTCAGTCACAGTTTTGCTAAGCCCACATGCTAACCCAAGCCCAAATGAGTAAAAAAAAAAGTAAGTAAAAAACAAATATTATTTGAATTCTTCATCCAGAAGTGGGGAAAAACGCAATGATGAGACAGCAGAAGACTCAAAGACTGTTACCAAAAAAAGCTTTCATTTAAAGAAAAGACCAAGAGTCCTACTTACATTATGGATTCATCGAAACAGGTCATTCATATTCTCCAAGCCAATTTTGTGTAATATGAGGCAGCCAGCTATCCAACAAAGGCAAGACACCTTTCAAATTACTTCCTTACATGAAGACCAAGCACCCTGTATTAAAAGATGAGCTTTGGGATTTTTTCCAGAGGGCAAAAAGTAAACATGAAGAGCAGAAGCAACTGCTGAAGGCCACCACTTCATCAAAAGTGTCTGCACTGAGAATAGCATTCTGAGTGGCTAATCACACTGCTAAAGCTGAGAAGCCCTTTACTATTGGTGAGGAGCTGATCCTGTCTGCCACTAGGGACATTTTTCATGAACTTTCAGAAAAAGCTGCAGTTCAAAAGGTGGTATATAGTCCCCTTTTGAATGTTACCATAGCTAGCCAATCTAAGGAAATATCAAAGGATACTGAGGCACTATTCTTAGCGAGGACTAGTAAGTCACCTTGGTTGCAATTCACGTTGATGAGTCCACTGACACTGACAACAAGGCAACACTTTCTGTGTGATATATTTTTCACGAGGAAGTGCATGAGGATATGTTATGTTCGTCTTTGTTGCCAACCAACACCAGAAATACAGGGCTAGTCAAATCTTTGAGTAATTATACATCAAGAAAACAGAACTGGTCATTTTGTGCTGGTGTATAAAAGTATGGAGCAGCGTCCACGACTGGACAGCCTTCTGTTTTCACTTCTCAGTCAAAGTGATCACTTTTGAATATGAGTCTCTGCACTGTACCATCCATACAGAAATGGCGGCTAGCCAAAAATGTCATCCGAACTTAATAATGGTTTTAGGATGTGATTAAAATTAACCACATTAAAGTACATGCCCCTAACTCACATCTGTCCATGCCCCTGTGTGAGGAGATGGACACAGAGCACACACAACTTCTCTTAGACACAGAAGTGTGATGACTCTCTAAAGGTAGATCACTGGTGAGAGTTTCTGAGTTAGGAGAACCACTCCAGAAGTTTCTTTTAGAAAAACAACCACCACTGGCAGTACATTTCAGTGACACAGAATGGGTCACAAAACTTGCTTACATCTGTAATATTTCCAACCTATTCAAAGGATGCAACCTGTCACTTCAGGGGAGAACAACAACTGTGTTCATATCAGCAAATAAAGTGACTGCATTCAAAGATAAATTAGTTTATGGGGTTGAAAGGAAACATTAAGATTTTCTGATGTGTTTCAAACATAGCAGAGATTTTGAAAGAGACAGAGCCAGGGCCTCCTTTCTCCCAGCTGGTGTATGATCATGTATCTCAGCTTTCAAAGGAGTTTGAGCGTTACTTCCCACTCCTCCCTACCCCAAACTGGGAAGGAATAAATCCATGACCAATTTGTGAACAAACCAGGTACATCAACTTTGTCCATGGTAGAAAAAGATCAACTGCTTGAGACTGCAGATTATGGTGGCCTTTAAAGTATGTTTGGGACAACTTCAAATCTCCATAGTTCTAGATTAAAACCCAACACTGAATATCCCGAGTACGCCACAAAAACAATGAAAAGGCTGCAACACCCTATCTTTGTGAAGCAGGGTTTCTTGTAGTGACAGCAATGAAAATAAGAGTATGGAGTAGGCTGGAAATAAGCAGCACATTTAAGGTGTCACTGTCTCCTATCACCCCTAGAGAGGACTGTCCAGTTGTAGCAAACCAAGTTTAGCGTTTTCACTGATCCTGTATTGTGGTTACTGGTATAATTATTTCATTATATGTAACAATGTAACAGTAATACTAATGAAGTATATAATAAATATAACACACGTGAATCATTCTGAAACCATTGCCTTGCCCTGTTCTATAGAAAAAAACTGTATTTTATGAAACTGGTTCCTGATACCAAGAAGATTGGGGACTGTGGGCCTACAAATTTGGAAAATCTTTCTAGCTACTTTTGCAACAGAAGATTAATATTGAAAATATATAAAGAACTCAAAAAACCACCAAAAATTGAATAATTCAATTAATAAATGGGCAAATGAATTGAACAGACACTTCTCAAAAGAAGTACAAAAGGCCAATAAATATTTGGAAAAATGTTCAATATCTTTAGCTATTAGATAGATGCAAATCAAAACTACATTGGCATTCCATCTTACCCTAATCAGAATGGCTATCATCAAGAATACAGAAACAGTAAATGCCAGAAAAGATGTGTAGAGAAGGGAAAATTTCTACACTGCTAGTGGGGATATACATTAGTACAGTCACTGTGGAAATCAGTACGGAGGTTCCTCAAAGAAATAAAAATAGAGCCACCATTTCTCCAACTATGCTACTCCTCGGTATATACCTGAATGAATTAAAGCCAGCACACTATAGGGATAC